TGCTTTAAAATCAGTTTGAAAGTTATATATCAGCTTTAAATTTCCTTAATACACAGAAATATTCTAATTCATAATCTTTTAGAGCATTTCTTTTCCATTTTAAAGTGAGTTTACATTTAAAATTATAGTGATTTAAGGCTTAATATCTCTGTAAAGCAATATGAATCACACCTACCTTTATAAACCTCTGTTCATGTGAGTGTGAATTCAAATTATGAGAATGAAAACTATAGGCAAAAAAAGGGGATATAGTTAAAAAAAACAATAGCTAGATTAAAATGGATTAAAAAAAAAAAGTTGAAATAATCCCAAAAGAAGGCAGGAAGGGGGAAACAGACGAAAAAAAGAAAAAAGAAAATGATAGACCTAAATCCAAACATATCAACAAAAAGACAGAAAGCTCAGAATAAATAAAAAAACAGGACGCAAACATTTGATGTCTACAGAAAACTCACTTCAAATGCAATACTATACACAGATTAAAATTCAGAAAGATGGAAGCACTTCCAGAACTGCAGAGTAAGGACCTCCGACAATCTGCTCCTCTATAAAAGCAACGGGAACACTGGCAAAAATTGTCAACATCAACATTGTTTAGAACTCTGGAAATGTTTCTTGGATTGTTCAGGAAAAATGACTGAATCTCAGTAAGAATGGTCCAATTTGTGGCGTTTTCCCTTGTCTTATTTCCACTTCCCTCTAAACCAGCTCTGAGGTAGCCTTGAAAACCAACAGCCTCACAATCATGGCAGCCGTGAAAATCAGCACCCTAGGAGCCACTGAAGGAGCAAACCGGGTTTGGAGCTCCTCAAAAAGTTCTATCTTCAGACCCCCGTAACTATTTCACCGTCTGGCAGCTCCCTGGAAATCTTCACTTGCAAGGCCTGTCTATTTGACCTGACTCAGTGCTTTATCAGTATGAACTGCTTTGTCCCCAGGCTGTTGGTGAATAATGATCAATAATTAAAAAAAAAAAAAAAAAAAAAACCTTTGCCATGGAGTCAATTCCGACTGGTAGTGACCCTACAGGAAAGAGTAGAACTGCCCCACAGATTTCCAAGGCTGTGATATTATGGAAGCCGACTGCCATCTCTCTCTCCCCGAGTGAACTTCTTACCTTTCACCTTTCAGCTAGCAACCAGGTGCTAAACCACTCCTTAAACATCACACCTGCCTGAGGCAATGATAACAGCTGAGGCAAACAAGAAGCTTAAGAGGAAAAGCTGGGGGATGAGATGCCCATAGGAGGCTTTGAAAAGCTCCAACATATTCCTGGGACTCCAGAAGGCCACGTACAGGTATACGGCTGTGTGCATACCCAAGAAAGATCTGTGAAGGCTCTCATCTTTTACCTCTGGCTGACCCTGAGGCTCTGTGCAAGCAGAAGTGAAGGTTCTTGTTAGGTGTTGTTGAGTCAGTTCTGACTCATACTACCCTATGATGTACAACAGAACTAAACACTGCCCAGTCCTGCGCCATCCTCACAATCGTTGCTGTGTTTGAATCCACTGTTGCAGCCACTGTGTCAATCTATCTCCTTGGGGGTCTTCTTCTTCACTGACCCTCTCCTTTATCAAGCATGATGTCCTTCCCCAGGGACTGGTCCCTCCTGAAAACATCTCCAAAGTATGTGAGACGAAGTCTCGCCATTCTTGTTTCCAAGGAGCATTCTGGCTGTACTTCTTCCAAGACAGACTTGTTCACTCTTCTGGTAGTCCACGGTATATTCAAGATTCTTTGATAACACCATAATTCAAAGGCATCAATTCTTTTTTGGTCTTCCTCATTCATTGTCCAGCTTTCGAATACATATGAAATGACTGAAAACACCAGGGCTTTGGTCAGGTGCATCTTAGTCCTCAAGGTGACATCTTTGCTTTTCAACACTTTAAAGAGGTCTTTTGCAGCAGACTTGGGCAATGCAATACATTGTTTGATTTCTTGACTGCTGCTTCTACGGCCATTGATTATGAATCCAAGTAAAATGAAATCCTTGACAACTTCAATATTTTCTCTGTTTATCATGGTATTGTTTATTCGTCCAGTTGTGAGGATTTTTGTTTTCTTTATGTTGAGGTGTAATCCATACTGAAAGCTGTCGTCTTTGATCTTCATCAGGAAGTGCTTCAAGTCATCTTTGCTTTGTGAAAACACACAAATAGGAACAGCAAAAACAAGCCCTGGGAAGGGACAGTCAAATTACCTAGAGCCAAGGAGACCTATTTCCTAATAGTCAAAGCTACAGTATCCCCTCAAAAGAACACTGAGACTGGCTCTTGTGTCCGATCCTCCAGTCCCTGTCCCATGTACTTCCATATTCCCCTGTGAGCATATGTTGGTGGGGAGGGCAGGTGGGGAAAAAGTGATGCGGTGGTTTATTTGAGGGATGAGGTCTTCACAGTCACACTTTCACATTATAAAATAATTTCCTCTAGAAAAAAGTGAGGAACAGTCTAAAACCATATACTATATCACACAGTGAACTTACAACTCGTAAGAAAACGCTCTTAGAAAGGAGCCAATCATATTTCAGTATGTCAACAGAAGCAAGACTTTGTCTTAACACCAAAAATCACAATCATCTACCTCGGAACCAAGTCTAGCCAGTTAGGGAACAACTATCCATTCAGTAATGTGGTTGGACAGTTATCATTTTCCTTGGCCTTCTCTATCTGGGGCCCCCTCCCTCCCTTATTCTCAACCTACGGGCTCCTGGAGTAGATGGCACCCCTGGACTTCTGGTGGGTTCAGAGGGCAGAAATGGCAGCGCTGTGGGATGTTGACCCAATATCCTCTTCCCATTCCTCCTTGTTACCAGAACCCCAATTCTGTCAAGAACAGCAACATACCCAGCTCCCAGCAATGATCATGAGAGGTTTAAGTCAGTCATGATAACCCTGTTTTCTGTTCGTCTAACCTGCTTGCTTGTTGTTAGGACCTGTCAAGTCGGTTCTGATTTATAGTGACCCTATGTACAACAAAAGGAAAACACTGCCCAGTCCTGTGCCATCCCCACAATTGTTGCTATGTTTGAGCCCACTGTTGCAGCCATTGTGTCAATCCATCTTTTGGGGATTTTCCTCTTTTTTGCTGATCCTCTACTTTACCAAGCATGGTGTCTTTCTCCAGGGATTGGTCCCTCCTGATAACATGTCCAAAGCACGTGAGATGAAGTCTTGCCATTCTCACTTCTAAGGAGCATTCTAGCTACACTTATTCCAAGGCAGACTTGTTCCTTCTTCTGGCTGTCCATATTGTATTCAAGATTCTTTGCCAACACCATAATTCAAAGGCGCCAATTCTTCTTCAGTCTTCCTTATTCATTGTTCAGCTTTCGCATGCATATGAGGTGATAGAAAAAATGGCTTAGGTCAGGCACACCTTAGTCCTCAAGGTGACATCTTTGCTTTTTAACACTTTAAAGAGGTCTTTTGCAGCAGATTTGCCCAGTGCGATACACCGTTTGATTTCTCAACTGGTGCTTCCATAGGTGCTGACTGTGGATCCAAGGAAAATTAAATCCTTGACAGCTTCAATCTTTTCTCCATTTATCATGATGCTGCTTATTAATCCAGTTGTGAGGATTTTTGTTTTCTTTATGTTGAGGTGTAATCCATACTGAAGGCTGTAGTCTTTGATCTTCATCAGTAAGCGCTTCAAACCCTTTTCACTTTCAGCAGGCAAGCTTGTATCATTGACATCTCACAGGCTGTCAATGAGTCTTCCTCCAATCCTGATGCCCCACTCTTCTTCATGTAGTCCAGTTTCTCTGACTAGGTGCTCGGCATACAAACTAAATAAGTATGGTGAAAGGCAACAACCTTGGCGCACATCTTTCCTGATTTTAAGCCACACAGTATCCCCTTGTTCTGTTCAAATGACTGCTTCTTGGTCTACGTACAGGTTCCGCGTGAGCACAATTAAGCGCTCTGGAATGCCCATTCTTCGCAATACCTTTGCAGTCAATAAAACACAGGTAAATATTTTTCTAGTATTCTCTGCTTTCAGTCAAGATCCATCTGACATCAACAATATCCCTCATTCCACGTCCTCTTCTGAATCCAGATTGAATTTCTGGCAGTTCCCTGTTGATGTACTGCTGCAACCGCTTTTGAATGATCTTCAGCAAAATTTTACTTGCGTGTGATATTAATGATGCTGGCAGCTAGGGATGGCCAAATGACCTTGTTCTGGCCAACGAGACACATGGTAACGTCTGCTGGGGCTGGGTACTTCTGGGGAACCTTTTGCCCTATGGTTAAAGACACACAGACCAGATAGGTACTGCCCTTTTCCCTACTTCTTCCTGCTTTGAACATAGGTATGATGCCAGAAGCTGCAGCAGCCATCTTATACCCACAGGGTAAAGGCCAAGAGAACTTCAGAGATGCTGGGACTGACACTATTGAGCTGCTGAGCCATACCAGGCAGCTACCTACCACCAGATTTCTTGTTCTGTCAGGAAAATGAACTCCTCTTTGTTTAAGTATTGATAGCAGACTTTTCTGTTTCTTGTAGCCAGAAGTGTTCTTAACTGACTTGGTAGGTAACTCAATCAGAGACACAAGATGACCTTTGCTAGAAATAACGGGACATCCCCTTAATCTTTCCTCCTGGACAAGACTAAGGCAGAATACAGCTGTGGAAGCACCTGTAGGCACCTCCCAACCACAAGGGGAGCATGAGCCTGTCTGAGGACAGGGAGCCAGGGACAAAGGGAGAGATGGTGAATGCCAGTGACATTACAGAGCTTCCTCACCAGCCAGCCTGAAAGAAGGTCTGTCTTGGACTTACTGTGAGCCAATCTTTCTTTTCTGCTTAAGCCAGTTTGGCTCTCTGACACTTGCAAACTAAAGGAGTCCTGATTAATACAAATAAGCCCTCATTTGTTCAGTGGCCAGCCAACCAGCCCCCAACTCTAAATCTTGGCATTTCTTGACAGTTCATCCACCGTGATCAACAATGAAAGGCCACAATCAAGAAAAATGACCACCACTCACCTTCTTTTTGTTTCTTCTGTTCAAGTTTCATCTTCTTTGTCAATAATTTCTTCTCTTTTAACTTCTGACTGCAAACATAAAATGCATTGACTCAACTATTTTACTGCATATCTGAGAAAAATAAATACTTACTTATGGCATCTTTAAAAAGTTTATAATTAAACGAGCATTACAGTAACAATGTGAAACAAAACAATTTCTCATGATTCTGCTACTCCAACATTATCAGCACTAACAAGCTGTTTTCATTACGTATCAAGATCAAATCCTGGGGAGTTCTGAGGTGACTAAAGCAATCTCAGAAATACTGGAGATGCTTTTTCATTCCAAGAAATTTAGGGACTGTTATCAGCTCTCTATAAGTTGAGGGCCATTTATTAAACACACACACAACCTAAATAATCATGTAGTCGCTTGAGGAGGTCACAGACCCTAATTTAAGGAAGAAGATAAATGAGAAGTTTGCTTACAGCACCTCGTTAAACCTGATGTTAAAATATAGAAGTGAAGGAGACACTGAAATCCACGCAACTACCTAAGTGCTGATTACTAAGCTCTGGAGACTCTGAAACCAGTTGGGGGTAAGTGACTTAATCTCTCCCTAGGTACCGGAAGAAAAGTCATCCCTCTGCTGGTTTGTTCTAGCATAGGTCGTAATACCCAAGACCTCTACAGGTGATACAGGTGACCTTTTGACTGCAAGGACTCAACTCACTCACCAATCATCTACTTTCACATTTCCTGCCCTGAAGCCTACTTGTGGTTATGTGGTGACACGATGCCCTTACCGCTTCTTCCGACGCTTTGCAGTCTGCTCCTCTGCAGCAATTCTGTTCCTTTCTAGTCTCTTCTGAAACTCTGCATCCAATTTTTGCTGCAAAAAACACATCACTTAAACACATCTTGATCTGGGTAGACTGTAGGAGGTTTCACTTGGGCTGGGTATGAGAGTTCTAGAAGTTACACCATTGGGGTTGCTACATGTACCACCTGGGCCCCCAGGGCCACTTTAGCTTTCAGGTGTTGCTCCACAGGCTGGGCAGAAAATCAATGTATGGCTCTCTGACGGCAAAGTAACTCTTTCCGTTTGTTAAGATAACACTCACATGCAAAAAAATATAAAAGAGAAAGTATGAGAGAGAGCACACTCTGTACTCCTTGAGGGCAGAGGCAGTACTGAGGTCTCCATTTAGCCAGGGCCGAAGACAATGACTGCAGCTCATCAGATGGAATGGTCAGGGCCAGAAGGGTGGAATTTTCAAGTCCTAACCCTAGCTTTAAGAGCCCTGGTGATGCAATGGTTAAGTGCTTGGCTGTTGACTGAAAGGGTGGCAGTTCAAACATACCCAGCGGCTCTGGAGGGGAGGGGAAGAGCTGGTGATTTGCTTCCGTAAATATTACAGCCAAGAAAACCCTATGGGGTAGGTTTACTCTGCCACATGGGGTCACTATGAGCTGAAATCAACTTAACGGCACCTAACAACAATCCTAGCTATGGCTATTGAATGAATGATTCTAAAGCAGCCATCACCTGCCACTAAACACACACACACACGAATATGTATCTATTTCTCTTGTACTATTTCTTTCTGACGGCAAGACTTCGGTTTGCTTTCTTTGACCATGCCATCAGGAAAGACCAATCGCTAGGAAAGAACATCTTTATTGGTAAAGTAGATGGTCAGAGAAAATGAGAGAAACCCTAAAACAGATGGACTGACACAACAGCCACGACAATGGACTCAAACACACCAACAATCATGAAGATGGCAAAGAACTGGGCAACACTTCCTTCTGTCATACATGCGGTTGCCATGAGTTGGTGCCATCTGGATGGCACCTAACAACAGAAAAGCATTTACAGACTACAAAGACGTTTACTATTATAAAGTGTCATCTCTTATTTCTTCCAGTCATAGCCACCATGGTCAATGAGGCATAAATGAAGGAGCTAGCAAACGAAGAAGAGGTGGCTTCACCAGCCCTGCTGTTTGCACTACAGGGTTGCACGGGTCTGCTTTGAGTGAAACAAAATAACATAGCTCTGTCTCTGAGAGCCGAAAATATGAAATAAAAAGAAGAGCCTCCTTTTAAGTAGAAAACAGCTTTAATTTGGTGAAAGCTAGAAGGCAAACCACTTAAACCTAAAAGCATTTGGTGTCTGTAGAAGCTCAGCTGAAAATGTCTTACTCTGTGCTGCTGAAGAAGCTGAATTTACCACCAAGTAAACTGAATGGAGACCCAGCTGGCTGTCAAATGTGGCTGAGGCCGGGTCTCAAGCAGGAGTAAGTCTGCCCTCTCCCTGTCAGTGGGGATACTGTATCCATCAGTCAGTGTAAAAGGGTGAGGATTCTTTTGCCTCTAACCATTTTTTTTTTAAAACCTCAGAGCCCATCTTGCCGTCCAAAATAAAAACCTCAGTGTTGCATAGATGTCAAGGTTTGTGAAACTTTTTTCTGTATTTTCCCTGAATATTTAATCGATATATAAAAACATCAGACTAATTTATGGTGTTTGAGACAATAGCCTGCTCTACTTCCTCCCCTCCAAAGTAGTTTAAAAATAAAAGCACTTCTGCTAGTTTCTGTATTCAGAGCTTTGTTTCTTTCTGATGCAGGCAAACCCATCTCAGTGACCTGGTACAGCTGTGTGGAAACCACCTGAAACTTCCCACTAGGAATGAAAATATCACTACCAGAAGATGGCAGTAGCTTAAGAAGAACCACCAAATTCTGGGAGCCCAGAAAGGCTGCACGGGACAAGCAAATGCCCGGTGAAAACAACCACAGCAACGATTCCAAATCAGAAGGATTTTTCCTAACTCAATTCTGGCCATTCCAGTAAGTTCTTACATATTTTCTTCTGTATCTTGGCTGTTTCTTTGGTTTAATTTTTTTTCCCTAATGTTTGTTTTGAAAATTTTCAAACACAGAAAAGATGAAAGAATTATACAGTGCATATATCCTCCACCTAAATTCTACAATTAACATTTTGCTTTACTTGCTTTATCACATATGCCTCTATCCATCCATCAATCCATCTTATTTTTCTGATGCATTTCAAAGTAAGCTGCATACATCAGGACATTTTACTCTTAAACATTTAAGCATGCATATCATTAACTAGAATTTAGTATTTGCTTATGGTTCTTCTTTTCCTTTTAAGGTAACGCAAAATGTCCAAACCTTCAGTGTACAATTTGATCGCCCTAGAAAGTTTCCTCAAACCTCTTCCCAATCAGCTCCTGTTCCTACACCCCACCCGAGACAACCACCATGGTGAATTTTTTTTCCCACATAGATCAGTTCTGCCTATTCTAGAAGATCACATAAATGGAATCATACAACATGGTGTCTTTGATGCAGGGCTTCATGAACTCAGTATGTTTTAAGAATTATTCACGTTGTTGCATATATCAGTAGTTCCTTTTGATTGATAAATAGCATTGTATTTTATAAATATTATTTGTTTTAATTTTTAAAAGCATTTTATTTGCTTTATATGGGAAGAGTGGATTCTTTTAAATTATTAGAAAGTCAAATACTACTGGGTAAAGTGGCTTTCTCTTCATAAAAGCAGACAAATACCATTTTAAAGTATCTGAATCTCTCTAAAATGCACAAATATGCTCTATGAAAAAACAGGCATCATGGCCAGACTGTGGAAAAGGACTTTTTGGGTATGTTTTAAGATTAAGAACAAGAAGTAAACCCTTACATACAGTGTCAGAGGAGAAGTCAGATGTATATTTGGAAAATCAAAAGGAATCAGGCAAAGGTCCTGGACAGAGTGGGAGAAAATGTAGAACAAAATTCAAACTGATAAAAAAGACCAGACTTACTGGTCTGATGGAGACTGGTGGAACCCCTGAGACTATGGCCCTTCGATACCCTTCAGACCTGAACAGAACCCGCTCCCAGAGACCACCTTTCAGCCAAATGACAGACAAGTCTATAAAGTGAACAATAACATCTGTGAGGAACGTGCTCCTCAGAACAATCAACCATGCAAGGCCAAAAGGGCAGCATTTGCCCAAAAACAAAGTTCAGAAGGCAGGAAGGGGCAGGAAAGATGGGAGAATGGAAATAGGGAACCCAGGGAGGAAGGGGGCAGAGTGTTGTCACATTGAGATGATTGCAACCAATGTCACGAAACAAAATGTACGTAAACTATTGAACAGGAAACTAATTTGCCCGTAAACTTTCACCCAAACCATAGTAAAATGTTAAAAAAAAAAAAAAAAAAACAGATGTTCCAAAAAATTATAAAGAAAACCCTACCACTCAGATTATTTCTGTTGAATATTTTGGTGACTAGTTCTTCAGATATGTTCTGATATATATTTGATTATGCTATTTTTACATTATGAAAATAAAAAATAATCAGTCACTAAAAAAAAAAAAAAAGGAATCAGGCAAATAATATTTGATTTTTATTAATAGTAAGGTAGGCAAATGAAGGAGACTGAGTCGGAATTGACTCGATGGCAACCGGAAATACATGAGTCGGAGCCCTGGTGGCGCAGTGGTTAAGAGCTTGGCTGTCAACCAAAAGGTCAGCAGTCTGAATCCACCAGCCACTCCTTGGAAACCCTATGGGGCAGTTCTACTCTGTCCTATAGGGTCACTGTGAGTCAGAATCAACTTGACAGCAGTGGGTATACAAAGGTCAGGAGCCCTGGTGACACAGTGGTTGAAGTGCTTGGCTGCTAACTGAAAGGTCAGCAGTTTGAACTGACCAGCCGCTCTGTGGGAGACAGATGTGGCAGCTGCTTCCGTAAAGATTACAGCCCTGGAAACCCTATGGGGCAGTTCAACTGTTCTACAGGGTCGCTATGAGTCAGAATTGACTCGACAGCAACAGGTTTGGCTTTTTTTTTTTTTTTGGTTTATACAAAGGTCAGCATACTTTTTTCTGACTATAACCAGTCGCTGTTAGTTGATTCTGGCTCATGGCGACCCCATGTGTGTCAGAGTAGAACTGTGCTCCATAGAGTCTTCAGAAGTAGATTGCCAGGCCTTTCTTTGGGCTCCTCTGTGTGGACTCAAACCTCCAATCTTTTGGTTAGCAGCTGAGCACATTAACCATTTGCACCACTTAGGGATTCCTATCACTCACAGCCAGTTATAAAATATAAAGAGCTACCCAACATCACTGTTACCAAAAAATTTAAAATACATTTCAACAAATGTGGTGACAGAGATGCAAAATCTCTACAGCACATCGAGAGAGAAAAGAATATTTAAACAAATGAAAAAAGACACAAAGTTTCTAGATGGGATGACTAAACATAACATCCTTTCTCATTCAAGTTAAGTTACAGATTCAACTCAATTCTAGCCAAAAATCAAACAAGAGTTTTGGTGGGGATAAAAATCATTCCAAAATTCAATTAGAAAAATGAAACAGGTGAAATGTCCAAAAGGGTTTTTAAAAAAGAGCACCAGGAGAGTGGTTTCTGGCCATTCCAGCCAATTAATAGAAAGCCTAACAGTTCTTAAAGTACAATTTCTAAAGTAATTCTTAAGCTCTTAAATTAACCTTCTAACTGAATTTCTAGCCTTAAAGCTAGAAAACCTAAATTCTCAAAGAAGCAGACGCACAAAAGCACACCACTACTCACACCAAACACACAGTTAACTGGAATTATACGCATTCAGCCCAAACCAGAGAGGACAATAGAGACATAAAAAGTTATTGGAAGATGTATGTGGGAAATCCTGCTTGCCATTCCATTTCACGGCCAGGATGGGAGAGGGGAATCTGCTCTGCCCTTCCACACACAAGGGAGTCTCCTCACCCATTCTTCTCCTAGTGGGAGCATCATGCTGTCCTGAGACTGACTGAGGAGCAACCTGGACTTTGCTTGATGTCTGCTTTGTGAGCAAACTTTAGAAGGCAGTTCTCACACAAGCCATGACCAGCTGTAACTACTACTTTCCAAACACTCTTTTCTAAAGGTGGTTAAGTACATGTTGCCCAGACCCAAAGGCTCAGTCCACCCACTCCCTCACTGACCTTCTCAGCCATGGCATCCATGTAGTCTTGTCGCTGGTATTCTCTACGGCGCAGGTGCCTGTACACGTGGAACTCTCCACTGCCGGCCCCAGCACTCGAACCTGTAGCCAGGACAGTACAGAGTTCTTGACAAAATCCAGTTACCAACACAGTCTAACCGTTACCAAAGGGGATCAAAGAAAGAAACTGAAAGTAACAGGAGGGACCATGTCTGCTTTTTTTTTTCCATATTATATCCCAGAACCTAGCACAGTGCCTCACAGGCATCATTAAATATTTGTTACATGAATGTTGAATGCAAAGTCACTAAAAATTCCAGTCTAAGATACTATTAGAGGAATAGGAGATGGCGGTTCAGCGACCAGTAACTTAGAAGACAACCTGTGACCTTCCACTCAAGATGATTTCACATTTGGCATGTTAGGTTTCTACTGAGTTAAAAAGATGTTCACGATATATTATGTGGAGAAAGTAGGTTACAAAACAGTACGTGTAAAACAAACAAATTTTTGTAAAAACATTTTTTCTTAATCATGAGTGGCTTTGACTATAAAGAGGTTCAGAAGGCAATACCAGAATATTATAAGCAGAATAATGGAATTATAGGTGGTTCTAACCTTCTTATACCTTTATTTATTTATATTTATTTCTTACAATTAGTATACATTAATTTATAATCCAAAAACAATAATAAAACTGTTTCCATTAGGAGTCCCTGGGTGTTGCAAATGAGTAAGTGCTGGATTACTAGCCAAAAGGTTGGCGGTTTGAACCCATCAAGAGGCGCCTTAGAAGACAGACCTGTCGATCTGCTTCCGAAAGGTCACAGCCTTGAAAACCCTATGGAGCAGTTCTAGTCTGCACACATGGGGTTACCATGAGTTGGAACTGACACGACAGCAACTAACAACATGTGGACACGTGTGCATCAAGTAACATAAATGAGACACTGGGCACAAAGAGGATCCAAAGCAAAAAAAAACCAAAAAACCCTGGTAAAACTATTTCCATTAAGAAAAAAACAATACAATGCATTATTAAGAATAATGTAGAAGAAAATTCTTTAATGTCAATCCATAAAAAACAATATTCCTTCATTTTTTTCCCCTATCAGAGATCTCATACTAACAGGGTTTATATGTCTATGCTTTAAAAATTGTATTTACACACACACACACACACGACATTACCCATAACATCTCGGACAAATTCTGGTGGCGGTCGAGGTGCCCATTCACTCATTTTTTCTGGAATTGGAACTGATTTGTCCTGTAACATTTAAACACAATATTCAAAAACAAAGGCATTTATAAATATGACCCTGCTGACAGAGTCACATCTCCTATAACCCAAGAATTTTAACTAGGGTAGTGACGCAGGATTGCTCTGCTCCTTGGATCCAGAGCTGATTTTATGTTCTTCCTTCTGTCTATGCTTTACTTCATCCAGTATACCCTGGGGCATTTCACAGCCCACAGCCTTGCCAGGGCTATATTTATTTTTCCTGAACAGAACCCAGAAATGTAAGTCACCGGTTATGGCTAGAAATCGCTAACTCTAACACTACTAAAGGAGAGTCAACCCTTTCCAGTCAAACTATAAGAAACCTTCTCATCCAACTGTTTTTATGATTGAGGAGACTGAGGCCCGCTCTGGGGAGTGACTAGCCCAAGGTGTTTCGGTCAGTGCCTAACAGTGGGTGCTCTTTTGAAGAAAATAAACCCTTCGGCTAACCCACGGATTCTATCTTTTCACTCTAACGCTTTTGTTGGAAGTTCAACTGCAGGGTCTGAGCGCACGGAAGCCGCTCCACAGCGTCCTCATCAGGGATGGGATCCAACAGATGACAGACAGGAAGCTCACTACCTCCGGGGCAGCCTACTCCTTCCTAAGGACCAAGGGCTGGTCATGGGGTTCGGGTACTGAGTTCCAGAATTGGAGACGAGGAAATAGAAAGGCGGGTCCGCGAGCCCCCAGAGAGGCCGGGAACGGAAGGGGGTGGACTCGGTGAGGCCGTCGAGCCGGCGCCTCATCTCACCGGGTTCTTCATGAGCCGTTCCAGCTTGAGCTTCTGCTCCTCCGCCGCATTCTTGGGAATGACGAGCGCCTGCGGCTCTTTCTTGGGCCTGGGCGGTCGCACCGACGAGGCGGCTGAGCTCGCCATGGCAGCTTTCCTGCTTCCCAGACAAACGACAGCGCCGGCGCACACCTATGACGACAGAGCCGCGCGCAGAGACGCAAGCGCCTGCTCTTAGTACGGACGGGATAGGGCGGAGCGCCAGCCAAAAGGAACCTGCTGAATATTCATGAGCCCGAAGCCGGCGTGAGTTATTTTGATCAAAGCTGTTTGATTTCATTTACTGTTTCTGAACAAATCAGTGCGGCCAAACCCGGCGTCCCTGGGGGAAGAGATGGCCCTGCGTGCCCCGAGTGGTCCGGCCCCAGGTGACCTCTCCTCCCTCCCGTGCTCTTCGTGGCACGACGGCGCAGACCCACTAATGGCCCTCACCATCTTCTCCCGGCCGCCCCGGGCCTTTGTCCTGGCTGTTCCTTGGGTCTGGTGCCCTCCCCCTCCCATTTCTGACTATCTTCTGTTCTTTTGTTTAAGACAGCGCGCAAATGTGTCTCTGTGAGCTCCGTGATGACTGGGGCCTTGTCTCCTTCGCCTACCTCGAATTACTGTGCACCTGGCACCCAGGAAATACACCCTGGCTAAGTGAATGAGCCTTTCTTATGAGAAAGAGCAAAGGAGCCCCTCACATCTGGGAGCTGGGCTGGCTCTCAGAGGTAGGCCTTGGTGTATTCCGATTGAAGATAAACAATTTCACAGGACGCTAATATGACACAGGCCATCTGTGACTGTGATGGATCAAAACATAAAGAAAACGGCTCTGTAATCATATTTGAACTCGGGCAAAAACAAGAATATTGCTCTAACCAGAAAAAGACCAAACGTCTCCCCGTACTGGCTAATATGAGTGACTGATGCTTATTTATAGCATTAGCCTTGATTCACTCCTCTCGTTTTAAGTATTTATTGATACCCAGTAATAGAGCTGCCCCTGCTTTTTATTTATTTATTTTTATTTTTCCCATACAAAAATTTATACATACATTGTTAGGTGACTCTAATTGCTCTCCCCATACTGTGATAGCACACTCCTCCTTTCCTCCCTTGATTCCCCATGTCCGTTCAACCAGCTTCTAACCCTCTCTGCCTTCCCATCTCACCTCCGGACAGAAGCTGCCTGTTTAGTCTCTTGTATCTACTTGAGCTAAGAGGCACGCTCCTCACGAGTATCACTTTATGTCCCACAGTCCAGTCCAATCCCTGTCTGAAGAGTTGGCCTCGGAAATTGTTTTATTTCTGGGCTGACAGAGAATCCAGGGGCCATGCTTTCCAGGGTACCTCCAGTCTCAGTCAGACCATTAAGTCTGGTCTTATTAGAATTTGAGTTCTGCACCCCACCTTTCTCCTGCTCCATCTGGGACTCTGTTGTGTTCCCTGTCAGGGCGGTCATTCGTGGTAGCTGAGCACCATCTAGTTCTTCTGGTCTCAGGCTGATGAAGTCTCCGGTTTATATGGCCCTTTCTGTCTCTTGGGCTAATACTTTCCTTGTGTCTTTGGTGTTTTTCATTCTCCTTTACTCCAGGTGGTTGGGACCAATTGATGCATCTTAGATGGCTGCTTGCAAGCTCTTAAGATCCCAGACGCCACTCAACAAAGTAGGATTGCCCCTGCTTCTTGACAGCATATAATCCAGAGTAAAAGGCTGCTTACTGGAACCCTCCCCAAAATCACTTAATATAAGCCCCAATCCCACAGTAAGTGCTTTTTAACACCCTCGTATGGAGGGTAGGCGCCCTGGTGGCACAGTGCTTAGGAACTTGGAGGTTAACCAAAAGGTTGGCAGTTTGAATCCACCAGTTGCTCCTTGGAAACCCTATAGGGCAGTTCTACTCTCTCCTATAGGGTCACTATGAGTCGGAATCAACTCGATGGCAACGGGGTTTACTGAGGGTTTTCCTCCTTGTGGCTCATGTACAGCTGTAGATGTGTTCCTGTTGGTTTTCTTGTTTATCATTTGTCACCCCCTAGAAAGTGGAAGCCCTATCTTGTTATCTGCTGTATTCCCAGTATCTGAGGCAAAGTCTCAATCACGGCAAGGCACTCAATAAACATTTCCTGGATGGACATGGGATTTTAGGGCCCATGCATCTCCATTTTGCTGCTGCTGCCTGCTCAGCCTGCTTGGCCTGGACAGCTCTCCTACTGCATCCCCAGTGGGACAGACAGGTGGACAAGTGAAAGGTGCCCAGTGGGTGCTGCATTAGCTCTCTAAAGGCCAGTCCTGGCTGCCTGGTGGATTCCCATAGATACCAAGGATGATGAATTAGGACAAGTCCTTGGGTAGCCCACCTGCCACTGGAACCTGGGAAGGGTTTGGCCTTGGTAGGGGCAGAGGCCATGCACACATATTCACCCTAAGCAAGTCCTCACCGTTTGCCTCTTCACCAGCCTGAGAGCTCCTTGAGGGCTGGGCCAGAATCCCAGCATCTGACCCTGGCCTGGTGCAGAATAAGTGCTTCCAGAATGCAGAATGCGTGGGGAACAGAGGAATGAGGGAGGCAGGGAAGGAAGGAGGGAGAGAGTTTATGACTGCTGGAAAAAAATGAGTGAATTAATGTGTAAATGAGATGATCAAGTGAATGAATGAATAAGGAAGTGAGTGAATGAGTATGGGAAAGTTTGAATGAATAATATAAGTAAATGGAACTCAACGAATGAATGAACACACCAGACAGTAAATTAGCAAAGAGTTACAGAGCCAGAAGGGCAGGGGCAGCGTCTGCTTGGCACTCCCAGCTCAGGATCTGGCACAGATCTGGTGCTTGGCAGATAGCTGCTGGATGAAAGTTAAATGAATGACTGAAGTGAATGAACGCACGAAGTTGGGGGAATGTGAAGGAGCTGGTAATAACAACATCAATGGCTAAGGCTGCTCTAAGTGTTTTGAACATATTTATCATCCTAATTTTTCACACAAGGAGACTGAGGCTCAGAAGGATAAGTGATTGGCTCAGGGTCACACAGATTCAAACCCAGTGTCTTGGTTATCTAGGGCTGCTGTAACAGAAATACCACAAGTGGATGGCTTCAACAAATGGAAGTTTATTCTTCACAGTCTAGTAGGCGAGAAGTCCAAATTCAGGGCGTCAGCTCCAAGGAAAGGCTTTCTCTCTCTGTTGGCTCTGGAGGAAGGTCCTTGTCATCAATCTTCCCTTGATCTAGGAGCTCCTATGTACAGGAAGCCTGGGTCCAAAGGACACGCTCTGCTCCTGGCGCTGCTTTCTTGGTGGTATAAGGTCTCCATGTCTCTCTACTCTCTTCCGTCTTTTATATCTCAAAAGAGACTGGTTGAAGACACAACTTAATCTAACTGCCAATAATCCCACCTCATTAACATCATAGAAATAGGATTTACAACACATAGGAAAATCACATCAGATGACAAAACGGTGGACAATCACACAGTGCTGGGAATCATGGCCTAGTCAAATTGACAGATATTTTGGGGGGACACAATTCAATCCATGACACTCAGCCATCTGACCCTGGGTCTATGAGGGCTTGAGTGGGCATGTGACTCACAGATGGATGAACCAAGCAGATCCTGGTGGGAGCCTTTTATGTGGTGCCCTCCTAGGGTACCCAGGAGTACCTGAGTGGTACAAAAAGTTAAGGTCTTGACTACTAGCCAAAAGATTGGCAGTTCAAACCCAACCAAGGTGCCACAGAAGACAGATTAGGCAATATGTTTCTGAAAGACCACAGCCTTGAAAACCCTATGGAGCAGTTCTACTCTGCACACCTGGATCACTGTCTTAGTCATCTAGTGCTGCTATAACAGAAATAGTACAAGTAGATGGCTTTAACAAAGAGAAATTTATTCTTTCACAGTCTAATAGGCTACAAAGTCCAAATTCAGAGCATCAGCTCCAGGGGAAGTCTTTCTCTCTCTGTCAGCTCTGGAGGAAGGTCTGTGTCATCAATCTTCCCTTGGTCTGGGAGCTTCTCTGCGCAGGAACCTCAGGTCCAAAGGACACGCTCTGCTCCCGGCGCTGCTTTCTTGGTAGTATGAGGTTTCCATGTCTCTCTGCTCACTTCTCTCTTTTATATCTCAAAAAAGATTGGCTTAAGACACTACCTAATCTTATAGACCTCAGCAATATAACTGCCGCTAATCCATTTTATTACATCATAGTGATAGCATTTACAGCACACAATCATGCAATACTGGGACCTAGTTGACATATTTTTGGAGGACACAATTCAATCGATGACAGTCGCCATGAGTCGGGATCAACTCGATGGCCACTAACAACAACAAATCCTAGGCCTGAGACCAGATTTGAGTTCCTGCTACCTGGAAGGAAAGGGGTCCCTCCCTCTCCCCTACGCCGCAACGCCGGCTGCCCCACAAGAGTGGATTCAGACCTGGAGTGCCGCCCTCTCTGCCACCAGAGGGCAGCAAAACTCCACCCAGGCCAACGCCACGGCTTGCGCCCAGGAGTCCATCTACTGGGCTCTCTGATCTACCTTTCCTGAAACTCAGAGCTAGGCAACTAGGGAGTCAGGGCTACCGCCTAGTGAGACACCAGTGCTTTCAGCCTAGCTGACTTGGTATCAAGGTTTGGCTTCACCTGGTGGCACAGTGGCTAAAAGCTATGACTGCTAACCAAAAGGTTGGTGGTTCGAATCTACCAGCTGCTCCTTGGAAACCCTATGTGGCAGTTCTGCTCTGTCTTACAGGGTTGCTATGAGTCAGAATCCACTCGACAACGGGTTTTTTTTTTACACTGGAGTATGGGCATGGGCAAGGAGCTTAACCTCCCTGAGCCTGTTTCTTTATGTGCAAGATGGAGACAAACAAACCTACCCTTGACACTCGTCATGGATAAAATGATGTGATGGATGTGACCAGCACAGAGCCTGACACTCAATACTAGGTGACCAACCATCCCAGTTTGGTCCCCCATGGGTTTTCTAGGACATGGGGCTTTTAGTGCTAAAACCAGAAGAGTCCCAGGCAGATTGGGTCAGTTGGTCACCCTAGAGAGGTGGACACTTGTACCTCAATTCTTTGAGTTGCAGTTGGTACTTAAAACACTAAAACAGT